TCTCTAGTTTTCTAATTATCTCTTATAACCAATTTTCATAAAGAATCTCTTGATTACTCTCTTTCTCTCTCTTCTAAACTAGCTTTTGTATACCAAAATTCCGCATTCACAAGATCTAGAAACACCTAGCCAAGTTCGAAGTTGCCTTCGCCCTAGATGTGAAAGGCTATAATTTCTGAGGGTTTGGTCCCAAATCACTATCTCAATTATTTAATTTATTTGTTTTGATTTGTATTTTTCCTTGAAGTTACTAACGTGTGTATTTTGTTATTAGAAAGAGGTACGGGGCATCCAAGTAAGTGCTTTAATTGATTTTATTGATATTATGATACAGAAATCATGTCTAGATTGTTATTATGATTCCTAGTATCATGTTAGGGTGTTTTGATCTTCCTAGTATTATGTTTAGGGTAATAACTATAATTTCTAATATCAAATATGACAATTGTGTTTCCTGCGATACTTCCTATTCTCTTCCTAATATTCATGTTAGTATCATGTTAGGGCTATATATTTGATCTTTATTGCTTAGTGACATGCTAGGGTTTGTTATTAATCTTGTTAGTATCATGCCTAGGATCTTGCTATTATTATGCTTTAACATGATTATGATTATGATTATGATTATTGTTATTATTGTTGTAATTATTTTGATGATTATTATTATGTTGCTTGATATATATTTATTGTTATTTCTTGGTCACACCTTTTATGCATGTTTAAAGGGAATTGGTAATTGTAATCATGCTTAATAAGATAATTAATAATCTTTTTTAGGGTTAATTTGAATATAATTCAAGTGATCGCCAATAATAGTTTATTTGTGCATTAATATTCAACTAACATAGATAAACAGGTTTAGGGTAATCCTATTGATTGCATGTTAGTCAGAAAGCGCACATGAATACGATCAGAATAAAGTAGAGACCTATTTTTAGGGCAGGCTCAATCTCTTTTAGGTTGGATTTGTACCTTCATCCCCGAACTACCAGTCATGGTTCCAGACCTATTGGAGTTAACGATCTCCTGGATCGTTAAGGGGTTTAACCTTCACCCTGTGAACGGTTTACAAGTTCCTAAAACTTGTTGGCGACTCTTTTGCTCTAGCTTCCCTCCCTTTGGACGCCACCGTACTTAAGTGTATGATCACAGTGGGGTTCATGTTTGGGATAATGCTTGAAATATTCCCTACAGCGCGCGACCTGCTGTGCGGGCGCACAAACTTGTATTGCGGGCGCGCACCCAAGGGCTTCTTTTCTCTGTACCCACAAATTTGCGGTCGCGCATTATCCTGAGAGGGCGCACATTACACTTGCGCGGGCGTGCAAAATTCGTGTGCGGGCGCACCGCTGGGTTTCAGATTTTTCTCCGCCTTGTTGCTTAAGTTTCTTTCTTTTTAGAAGCACATATATATAGTCCTTACTCTCTTTTGAGGGGGCAATTAGGTTATCTTAGTTTTAATTTTCTAATTTTTAGCTTAATCTAGAGAGAGAAACACCATTAGTTTTGGCATTTTAGAGAGAGAAAGTGTGGATTACTCCATTGTTAAGCTCGGAATTCAAAGAAGAAGCTTAATCAACCTCTTTATAGAACTTCAACTTCAATGAATGAGAATTTCCTTACTCTTTTCTCTTTACTTTGCTATTTAATTTTTTGTTAAATTGCTTTTATTTTGTTAATTACTCATTATTCATGCTTTTGCTTGTTAATATCATGATTGACTTGATGATTGCCATGGATAGTGAGTAGTTACTTAGCCAAGGGTATGGGGATGATGTAGTTGGAGTTTGTTCATGCTTATAGTGTTGGGATTCAAGTTGATTGTGATTAAAACCTTTACATGCTTGATTGTTCTTTGATCTTCTTGCAAAGTGCACGTTAGTTGATTAAAGGTGAATCTTTGCTAAATGAAACGACGGTTGACTTAACTAAGTTCATTTCTATCGATTGTTACTTGATAGCACCTCCTAGTATATGGTTTTAATGTGAGAACATAGAGGCTATGTTAGGAGAAGCCAATTGACCCCGATAGGTGGCTAGATTGGACCCTCTATATCGATATTCATGCAGGTTTAGTTCATTATCGATTTGTTTCTATGCTAATGCGTGTTCAAGTGAAGCCTATATCTACCCATTCCCCTTGGTGTTTTTTTTTATATTGTCTTTAATTCAATTTAATCTTAGTTTAATCTCTTAAATAATTCCATTCTTTGTTCTTAGATATCTTAATTATTTAGTAGTGATTACGGCGTTTAACTTCTCCCTGAGGTTCGACCCTTTGCTTACCTTATACTTGTATTAGGTTTGTTAAGGTTTTGTAAATTGTATTTTATTTAGGGATAGACATTTGACGACGTGTTTATTTCCCCATGTCAAATTGGCGCCGTTGTCGGGGAGACGGTTTCCATTGTTATTTCATTTCTTTATTGAGACTATCTCACCTTTTATTTACTAGTTTTGATTACTTTTGTTGCTTGTCAGTGCTCACTTTCTTCTTAATTTTGTTGTATGATCAGAGGTCAAACTTGTTCAAGATCTTTGGTCCCCATCGATCCCGAGCTTGAGAGGTTTTTGTCATTACTAAGAAGAGAAGCAAAAGCAAGAAGAAGAAACTCCCATACCCCTATAAGAGAGGGAGCGAACAAAGAAGAAGATACTCTGCCTTCTTCACCCTCAAGTGAAGACGTAGGTAGTCCTAGTTTTTCACCAAGTTCGAAAATCAATCCTTTTTCTACCTTTGACTTTGAGAGTTTGAAGCCCCCAAAAATGGGAGAGAGTACACCTTTAAGTTGTCTTGGGGCTCCTAAAGCCTTTAGAGCGCAAAGTGGAATCCAAGCTCCCACTACTCAAACCAATAATTTTGAAATCAAGTCTAATTTGATTGCCTTGATAGAGCGGAAACAATTTTCGGGTGGGAAGTATAAGAGCCCTCATGAACATCTAAAAGAATTCGAGAAGTATTGTGACATAATAAAAGCCAATGGGGTGACTCAAGAATACATTCGACTCAAGATGTTCCCATTCTCTTTAATTGGGAAAGGTTTGGAATGGCTAGAGAAGGAGCTGCCCCCAAACTCTCTCTCAACTTGGGACCAAGTTACTATGGCATTCTTGAGAAGGTTCTATAATCATAGAAAAACCGCCGAAGCTTGATCTTTGATTCAAGGCTTCCGCCAAAAGATTTGTGAGTCCCTAAGTGCGGCTTGGGAACGATATAAAGAACTTCAACGCCAATGTCTACATCATGGAATACCTAAGTATCAACTCATTCACACTTTCTATGGTGGTCTCTTACCTCAAGGAAGAACAAGCTTAGATGCCGGAGCCGGTGGCCCAATCATGAACAAATGAGAAGATGATGTGGAACAAATCATAGAGGAGGCCACAAGGCATTATGAAAATTGGTATGAAGGAGATAGGGATGCTACATCTAGCAAGGGTGTTTATGCTTTAGAGCAAGCTAACACAATCAACAACCTCTCCACCCAAATCTCCAAGATGCCCAAGCAAATGGATGAGATAATGAAAGAAAGATCCAATCCTCAAAGGAACACCTCCCCTCCAACCAAGGGAGGCAATGGTATGAACCCCCCTTCTTCTTCTTCTTCTTCTTCTTCTTCTTACAATTCAATGCATCATGGATGTATGTTTTGTGCTAATTTTGGAACCTATGATCATGATACCTCTCAATGTGTATATTCTTGTGAAGTTCAACCCCCTGCCCAAGAACATGATGATAATGTAGAAGATGTTAATGCTATGAATTTTGCTCCTCGAATGGGAAATATGGGGAACATGAGGCCAAACTCCAATCAAATGGGGAATTAGAATCAAAGTGGAAACCATGGTTGGAACCAAAGTGGTGGTGGTTATGATAACCAATATCATGGTAGGGGGGGGGGCCCTTTCAATTTCAATGGAAGAGGCTACTCTAACCAAAGAGGGTATGGTAATCAAAACCAACAACCTAACTCCCGATACTGTGACCATCAAAATCAAAATTTTGGTGATCAAAGTAACATGGGAAACAATCAACAAAGCAATGTTCCTAACCAAGGCACTTGAGGCAATAGGGGTCAATATGTCTCTAACTATTTCCAAACTAATAGGCCGCCCGGTTTCCATCAACCCCCCAACTTCCCCCACCTCAACAACCTCTTCAACTTGAAGCTCCTCCTAATGATCCCATGATGGCTAAAGTAGATGCCTTATTAAAATTGCGTGAAGAGGATCAAAGGAGGCATGAAGAGGAACAAAGGAGATATGAAGAGGATAAAAAACGAACCAATGCTCATATGAAAATGGTTGAGACTTAAATAACTCAACTTGATTTTAATTCATCCCATTCTTCTTCTTCTTCTTCTTCTTCTTCTTCTTCTTCCACCATTCCAAGTCAAGGAGTCAACCCAAAACCTTTGTATGCCATGACAACTAGGAGTGGGAAGGTAGTAGGGAGTGACCCTTTAGTGGAGGAATAACCTCAAGAACAAGTGGAATTAGAGAATGAGGGTAAGAGAGCCAATGAGCCATTGAGTATTGAGAAAGAAAAGGGTGTTGAGGTGCCAAAGGAGAAGGAAGTTACCCCCTTGCCCTTTCCACAACGATTTGTGAGAGTTAAGCTTGATGCTCAATTTGGGAAGTTTTTGGATGTGATAAAGAATTTGCATGTTTCTCTTCCTTTTGTTGATGCTATGAAACAAATGCCCCACTATTCCAAATTCTTGAAAGACCTCTTGAGTGGGAGAAGGGAGTGTGAAATGGTAAGCTTAACCGCCAATTGTAGTGTCATTACTTCCAACAAGATTCCTAGCAAGTTGAAAGATCTGGGTAGCTTCTCTATTCCTTGTTCCATTAATGGTGTCGAGTTTGACAAAACATTATGTTATTTAGGATCAAGTGTGAGTCTTAGGCCCTATTCCATCTACCAAAAGCTTAGTGTAGAAACCCTCTCACCCACAAATGTTACTCTCTAACTAGAGAACTGTTCTATCAAGTTTCCCATGGGTAAAATTGAGGACATTCCCTTTAGGGTTGGAAAGTTCACATTTCCCATGGACTTTTATGTGCTAGAGATGGATGAGGATGAGAGGATTCCTATAATATTTGTTAGACCATTTCTAGCTACTTCTAGAGCAATCATCGATGTGAAGGAGGGTAAGATGACCTTAAAAATTGATAAAGATTCAATTGAATTTGATTTGAATAGTGTCATGCAACAACCTTATTCAAGTGGTGAATGTTTTAGATTTGATATTCTTGACATCGTGCTTAATGAATTTTCTCGCTCCCATTTGCATGCTACTAATGATCCTCTTGAAAGTGTATTATTCAATGAATTCAAGATAGGTGCTCATAAGAAGGACATGAAATTTTATGAGGATTTGCTTGAGGAAAGAAAGAGGGAGTGCAAGGATGAAAGCATGGAGGAAGAGGCTCCTTTTATTCATGACCTCTTTGAAGTTGAAGGAAGAGAAGAGAGCCTCAATGGTAAGAGAGCACCAAAGGTAGACTTGAAACCTCTACCTTGGGGCTTGAGGAGGAAAAAACCTCCCTCTTGATCGATGTTTTTAGAAAACACAAAAAGGCTTTGAGATATACCATTGATGACATCAAAGGTATAAGTCCATCCTTATGCATGCACAAAATCGATCTAGAGGGAGATGCTAGACCCGTTAGACAAAGGCAAAGGAAGCTTAACCCTTCCATGCAAGAGGTTGTGCGGAAGGAAGTGGCTAAGCTCCATCGGGAATTATCTACCCAATTTCTCATAGTGATTGGGTATCTCCCGTACAAATTGTGCCTAAGAAGTGTGGTATGACGGTGGTGAAAAATGATAATGATCAACTAGTTCCTACTAGGCTTGTTACCGGTTGGCGTATGTGCATTGACTATTTCCAACTAATTACAAGTACATGAAAAGATCATTTTCCATTACCGTTCATTGATCAAATTCTAGAGAGGCTTATAAAGCATTTTTTCTATTATTTCCTTGACGGTTACTCGAGATTTTTCCAAATCCCGATTGACCCCAAGGAACAAGAGAAAACTACTTTTACATGTCCCTATGATACTTTTGCATATCGTAGAATGCCTTTTGGACTTTGTAACGCCCCCGCAACATTTCAACGTTGCATGATGTCAATCTTCAATGACATGATTGAAGATGAGATAGAAGTCTTCATGGATGACTTCTCCATTGAGGAGCCACCTATGAAGATTGTCTATCTAATTTATCTTGTTGCCTAGAAAGATGTGAAAGAGCAAACCTTGTGTTGAATTAGGAGAAATGCCATTTTATGGTAGAAAGAGAAATTGTTCTTGGGCACAAGATCTCCTATGCCGGCATTGAGGTGGATAAAGCTAAGGTTGAGGTCATTGAGAAACTTCCTCCCCCCACCAATGTGAGGGAAATGAGATATTTTCTTGGCCATGCCGGGTTTTATTGGTGTTTCATTAAAGATTTTTCATTGATTGCTAAACCTCTCACATCTTTCTTGCAACAAGATAAAGAGTTTATGTTTGATGATGCTTGCCAAGAGTCTTTTTGTAGGTTGAAAGAGGCACTTTGCACAGCCCCCATCGTCCAAGGACCGGTTGGTCTTTACCATTTGAACTCATGTGTGATGCAAGCGATGAGGCTATTAGATCGGTTCTTGGGCAATAAAAGGGAGGAAAACTACATGTCATTCACTATTGTTCCAAAACTCTCAATGATGCTCAACTGAATTATACAACCACCGAGAAGGAATTCTTGGCGGTTATCCACTCATTTGAGAAGTTTAGAACCTACCTCATCGGTTCTAGGACTATAGTGTACACTAACCAATCGGATCTCAAATATTTGATAAGAAAGAAGGAAGCTAAGCCAATATTGTTGAGATGGGTTTTAGTCCTTCAAGATTTTGACTACGAAATGAGAGACAAAAAGGGGGCCGAAAATGTGGTGGCGGATCACCTCTTAAGGTTGGGCGGTGCAAAGTTTCAAGACGATGGATTGTCGATAGAGTATGCCCTATGGGATGATGTTTTATATGCTCTTGAGGTGAAGATGGAATCGTAGTATGCGGACATAGTGAATTATTTGGCCTGTAGTGCCATACCTCTGGATTCACTTCACAACAACGTCAAAGACTCAAGCATGAGGCTAAGAGATATATATGGGATGACCCATTTTTGTTGAAGAGAGGGGTCGACGGTTTATTGAGAAGATGCGTCCCCAACAAAGAGGTTCAATGTGTTCTTCATATGTGCCACTCTTCCCCATGTGATGGGCATATGAGTGCTCAAAGACCGCCTCCAAGTTCTTACAATCTATGCTCTTTTGTCCCTCTCTATTTAGGGATGCTTGGAAGTTTTTCAAGACTTGCGATAGGTTTCAAAGGATGGGGAACATCACTAGAAGGGACTAGATGTCTCAAAACCCCATCCTTGAGCTTGAGGTCTTCAATGTATAGTCTATAGACTAGATGTCTCAAATACATCTTGGTAGCTGTTGACTATGTCTCGAAATGGGCGGAAGCCGTTGCTTCTCTAACGAATGATTCAAAGGTGGTAGTCAACCTATTCAAGAAGGTGATTTGTCCAAGATTTGGTGTCCCAAGAGCTATAATCAGTGATGGGGGGTCGCATTTTAAGCACCACACCTTTAGCCGCCTTCTCGATTAGTATGGTGTATCTCACAAAAGAGGGCTTGCTTACCACCCTCAAATGAGTGGTCAAGCGGAGACCACCAATAGGGAGCTCAAAGTGATTTTGGAGAAGACGGTGGCAAGGACAAGGAAAGATTGGTCCTCTAAGCTTATTGACTCTTTATGGGCGTATAGGACCGCTTTCAAGACTCCAATAGGGACCAATCCCTAAGATTGTCTATGGAAAAAATTGTCATTTGCCGGTAGAAATGGAGCACCGAACTCATTGGGCTATCAACAAATCAATTTCGATCTCCATAGTGCAGGTGAGCAACGGCTTCTTGAGTTACATGAGTTAGAAGAGTTGAGAATGAATGCCTATGATAGTGCGAGAATTTACAAGGCAAGGACCAAAGCTTGGCATGATGCTCAAATCATCAAGAAAGAATTTGGCGAAGGCCAAAGAGTCCTCCTCTACAACTCTCATTTGAAGCTCTTCCCGGGCAAGCTTAGGTCGCGATGGAGTGGGCCATTCGTTATCATAAGGGTATTTCCCTATGGTGCTTTTGAGACCTCGAATGACGAGCACCCCCGTTCAAACTTTAAAGTTAATGGTCACCGCCTCAAGCCCTACTATGAAGGACTCCTCGTTGATAAGCCAATTTCTACTATGCTTCTTTATGTGCATCATCCACACGATCCTCCTTGATTTAGTTCAAGGAGTCAAGCTAACGACGTAAACCAAAAGCGCTTCCGGGAAGCAACCCGTGTTTCTAACCCTCTTTGTACCAATTTTTCTCTTCTTATTTCTTTTTGGATCTCATTTTTGTCCTTTTGGTTGATACGTGTTTGGATGATTTGGTTGAGACTTTTCAATGTTGTAGATGAGAGAATAAGGCAATTCAAGGCAAAGCTTGCGCGCCCTGTGCACGGGCGCGCAAGGAAAACGTGCGCTGGTGCGTATCCTTGTCAGAACCCGCTCACAAAGGTTTGATATTGCAGAACCGAGGCAGAAACTTTAGGCAAATTGTGCACGACCCGTGTGCGGGCGTGCATACATGTGTGCGGGCGCGCAAAACGCGTGCGCGGGTGCGCATTCCTTGGTAAATCGGGGTTAAATTCTTTCTTCCCCGTTTCACGTACTCCCCTCATTTCTTAACCCAAAATTTCGAGCTCTCTTCTCTCTCCTCATAAAATCAAACCCTAACCCTTGAAATTCACTCATAACTCGCAAATTCCCTTGATTTTTAACCAAATCCATCATTCTTCTTCACTATAATCACAAAATTCACCACTTTTTCTCTCCAAAATACCCAATTTCCCCCCATTTTCGTGGTTATGCAAGCTTGGTTGAAGGTAGTGGTCTTGGGTTTTCTCTAACCTTGGTGGTGTTCAAGCTTCTCCTTGGTGGTATAACTCTAAATTTTTCTACTTTATTGCTTAATTTCACTAGTTTATGCAAAGTTTTGAGTTGTTAAGCATGGTTTAGCTTAAGTGGGTTTTATGTGATTTTGGGTATCATTCTTATGGATTGTTGGATTTTAGTGTGATATTTTGTGACTTTGGAACATTGTTGTTGGCATTATTGATATTGTAGCTATTTTCATGGAACTTGTTTGAGTAATTTTGTATTAGGCTCCAAGCCACTCTTGATTGGATAAATCGTTGCATCTAATGCTCTCTCAACAAATTATCCACTTTGCCACGAAATGTTAGGAGTCCATCACTCATATCGTTGAGTATAACCAAAACCAACTTGCATACCCGGTATGCCTTATGAAACCTAGGGAGTAATAGTGATGCCTCGCTTTGGCGTAGCCCATAACTACTCTCAATAGGTCGATAAGTGTTGTTTTGGAATGACAATTTCACTCAATATTTTAGGGACCTAGGGTTTCTATGTTGGTTGATTTAAGTGAACCTATTTAATCATCACAACATTCGAAATCCTAAACATGCATCTAACATATAATTCATATATAGAAAATCATAAATATATATCGAAAACATAAATAAAGATGCATTTGGCAACTAGCATGACCCCTCGAGTCTTCAATTCTTCAAGGGACGGCTTTTGCAACTTCATGGCTTTGTCTTCTAAGAATCTCTGTCTTCAAGACATGACCATAATTATGCAAATACTAGTATCTATGATTAGGACTAATCTAAATATTAAGGTACAAAAATACTCAACGGCTCACAGACCTTATTTAGATTTACAAAAATACATCACGGATCGCAGTCCGTATTTTCTATCCTAATCGGGCCCCACTAGTTGCCATTTTATAAAACATGTGAGAGAATATACAGTTCATTCATCCATTTACTATTTGTGAATGGCCCATACACTTTACAACGAAAAACAAGTAACAATGCATAAAACGCGCGTAAACTAGTAACAAATTTAGGTCGTTAATCCAATTAACATGCCTAATTAAAACTAGTCAAAGTTGTTTAATTGATTATGTAATTTAGCGTAATTAATAATTGAATCTCCCACTAAATTCCGCATCCAATTTAATTAATCCAATTAATTAAGTTGGTAAACCCAAATATTTGCCAAAATTAAATTTTGCAAATGCCGCTAAAAAAATTGAGGCCTAGCCTCCAACATTTATTAAAATAATTAAAACCAAATTAAATTAATAAAATAATTAAAACGGCAAAATTAACATAGCCCTAAAACAAGGCACAAGAGTTAAGGGAGGAGTTATGCACAATTTGTGACTCATGCCAAGCGTCACATCCATAGCCTTGAATACAACAAACGCGTAGACTCTTAGCTTCTACGGAGCGTGCTCGCGACACAAGCCACGAAGGCCATGCAAGCTTGCTGCTGTGCGCATTGTGCCACAACCACGTAGCACTCCCACACACACACACTCAAGCCGTACCAAGCATCACACAAGCACACACCAAGCTCAAATGCATGCACCGGCCTATGACTAGCCACGGCCAGCCACAAGTCTGCACGCATGGTGCGGGCGCACAACAGCTAGCTGCTGCTGCACCATGTTGCTGCCTTGGCTTCCATGGTGCGCCATTGTTCCGGCACAAGCAGCAGCCACACAACACAACACACCAAGCTTCGGGCAGCCCACTTGGCAGCCACATATGGGCTGTTGTGTAGCCCCGGCTAGCCAAGTGAGGCTCTTGCCTTAGCTTGCAAGCCATAGATTCGGGTTTCCAACCCGATTTTTGCGTGACATATAATTAATTGTAAATTAATTTTATAATTAATTTAATGAGAAAAAATGAAAAATTAAACAAGTCCAACTTTAATTAAAAAATCATTAAGGTGCATACAACAAAAATTAATTCCAAGAACCATTCTTTAATAAAATTTGTTTAACTTGGTGTAATAAAAAATTAAGGCCAATAACTCACTATTAATTTAAATAATTTAAATTAATCATGAGATTTTGAAAAAATAAAAGGGGGTTGGAAATGTGAACACAAAGTTCAATATAAAAATTACAACATTAACACTTGTAAATCCTTGAAAAATAATATCTTCCTATATGAAGATAAATGAAATTTCTATCACAAGATTCAAACTTTATAATTCCAATAAATTTAATACATAATTAAATCAAAAATTGAACACAAAATTCATGGAATTTAGTAACTCAAAGTTTCAATCACTTAAAACAATTAAAGATTGAATCTTTAGTACTTGGAAGCAACAAAGAACAAATTTTTTCACACTTAATGCAATGAATTCGCAATTATGTGAAAAATAAAACCAAACTTTCAAGCACCAATTACTACCAAGTAACCATGCTTAAAGAGGTTTAAAATTGCATATAAATTAAGGAAAGAACCAAATACATAACAACCATAAATATCCCATAAAGATTCAAGGTTAGAAAGACTTAAAATTTTTTGTTAAAATGAAAAATTCCTTGAAAAAGTCATTTCTGGTTGTGTTTTTGCTAAAAACATAGTCCTACAGAGAAAAACCATTTTCAGAACGCCTTTCCACCAAAAATTCACTATTTTTGGGCCAAAATTTGGGTTCGGGGCTGAAATCAGCTCTAATATGGGTTTAAAAATAATAGAACCGAGCTACTAATCTAATTAGCAACTTAAAACCA